TGCAAAGTTAGCGTAAGATTCTTGCCACTAATCGTATACTAAAGTACTAGATAGGATGAAGAAAACAAAAAGACAAATTAGTGTTGACGTGGTATGCGCACGATCTCTACCGGTAGCTCACACTGTGGGGTTTGGTTCGAGGGTGGTGCTCACTCAACAGTCTGACCCGCAAGATAGCGGAAAGCACCTTCAGCTCGGAAGTGAAAGAGTGAAGAGTACATTTGGAAACAAATTGAGGCCAGTCATAGATGACCTTTGAATAAGTAGCAAAAAGTATGTTTGTTGAGCGCAGCATATTAGGCACGGGGGATCACGCTCAATCGCAGGAAGCCGGCAAGTTTGCACCTAAATGACCAAGGGCCGCACAACAGGAGACAAGCAGCGGTAAACCATGGTCAAACAGATCGCGGTACTTGTGCTCTATCCAAATCAAGATGACCTCATTGTGGCTGGCTAGCCGAACAACCTCCTCGTGGTGCCAGCTGGGTGATTCGGGTTTACCCCCTTTCAGCAAATAGTTCGGCGGCAGTGTTCCAGGACGTGGTGGGTTTTCGCCTGGCAAGCGTTCTCCCTATAAAAAGCCACATATGTCCGTTTAACAACACTGCGACGTGGCGGTTGTGACTCGCCACTAACTAAAGTCACCCATTGCTTATCCGAACAATCTCTTCAAGTCCACAGATAGCAAGCACTGGCGACACCTTCAAACACATTCAAGCAAAATGACAGGAGTCATTTACCAATCCCATAAACAAAGCTAAACACGCCTACATGCAAACTTACATACATTCATATATAAACATATGCAACAATCCCATTGTTCCATTGTACATTAACTGATCACATTTTGTACTCTTAACATGATCATGCCTGCGCAGGCGTGCCTCGCTTAGTCGAGAATACACAATTTATTTATTTATATTATTGTCTCGCATGAGTAAGTGCCCATGAAAGATAGCCATCAACTTCTCCCCAAACTGCAAAGAAGAGAACACTGTGACTGACCTGCGTCAAGCAGGTCTGACATGAATACTCTGGAGGCGCTTAAAAATACCATCCGGCGTATCTCAATGGAGTGATGAAGAACGTTAACCATCGTTTCAATCTAGTCGCAATGGATTGATGGCGAGAATCACCAATATGGAAGCAAAACACTCTAAGGGAACAGGCATAAAGCGGTAAGAGACATACGAATATGAACGCAGTGCACATTTAAAATCGACATACAGGTGCTAAAGATGCAGAAGCGACATACCAGTAAATTAATCGTGAATACGAGTGGATAGATGCCAGGCGCTACCCGCTCGAAACACTGCATTTCGTGACGAGTTTTGTGCATATCTGCACTCTCCACATGGAGTCAGGGGAACTGCTGTAGCCCGATTCCAAGACGTACCAATCGTCAAGAGATGTCGTTAACGCAACTCCCCTACTCAGTAGCGGCTATTGCCAACCGAACGTTAACTTAAGGATCAACAGGGGCTCAATAATGGCCGTTCACATTACGAAGACAAGCTTCCAACATTGCGAAAAGTTGAGCATTTGTTTCCTTGAAGCGCTACGTTTAGACATACATAGCAACGTTTAACCGATTGGGAGTCTCCTTCGCCAAGACAAGTGCAGACGTAAGTGGACCACTATAAGGACGATCCTTATCGTGATCCTGTAGATACAGTACATAAAATCCACGGAAATCCTCTCATGGCGCAAAGGGTGCTGTAAATTTTCGCAGGAATAACTGCCACTGGCAATGCGCGAACCGTCTTTAGCAGTCAAGTAGAGATCGCTGCTGATATAAAGTCTAACAGTCAGTTCTTTGTCCTCAAGAGTAGCAGGTTAAGAAGTAGCCGATAGTCCTGCAACAAGACTGCACTTTGCCGGTGCAAATAGCATGCAAGAGGAGAGTCGATCTTGAGGGCTGGTCTGTGGCTGACAATGTTACCTCGTGAATGATGAACAGCAAGGCAGCCGTGTTCATAAAACAGATAATCCCCTCTCTGATCCACTGAGTCCTACCTGGAAACACTTCATGATGGGGCCTGTGTAAAAATAGTGAAATGTGTCAACTGTGGTGGTCAACATTTGTTGTTAGAAGGAAGTCTAACAGTTCAATGCAGACAGGGAGGAGATCTGATCCCGTTGAAAACGAAGAGCGTGGGTCGACTCTCCGGGCAACTAGATTGAACATGACAGAGCGAACGATTGAAGCAAAGATATTCTTGTGATCAAACAGTACAGTTCCCATCATCCTGCAGCACGCGTGTTAAAGTTTTGTCACCTGTGCCAGAGTAAAATAACGCGCAACACATTATTCATCATTATACATGTCAGCTGAGGGTGGAAAAGATCTCAGCTATAGTCACAATGCCAAAGAAAAGGAGAAAAGAAATATGAAGCAGAGGCACGCCGGATGACTCACCAGTAACGGATGGACATGGTTCCGGAGAGCTAACAGCCGGCTATTGTGCCGCAAAAAAGGAGTTAGCCTAATAAATGAGATCGTGGTTGGAGAGGGAGGCTAAAAGCGGAAGAGGAAAGACAAAGAAACTCACAACACAAACGCCAGTAAGGCTGGCTCCTAGCCAGGTCAACAAGTGTATCCAGTCAAACGTGTTCATCGTCCTTCGGTCCCCAACCGGGGAGCCTAGAGTCTCCAACCGAGGACAACTTGGAAGTAAGGGCCTTCATTCCTTCCTTCCTTCATTCATTGACCAAGTCATCGCTTGGCCACGTCTCCTCTTCTTCCATCCACACCCTCGGCGTGCAAACAACGCATGTCGCAGAAGTCGGCATGCGCAACACGTGGCCCAACCCTCGGAGCCTAGTGCGTGAAATAACGGTGCTGAGCGGTTCATTTCCTTTTCCTGTGCCTAAACAAGGCGTCAAACACGTTCATTGCTCACGCGATGTTCCCGGCAGATATGAGCCAAACTGCGAAGACACCGGCGGTCGAATGTAACTATGCTCTTTACGTCCGCTGATCTAAGGGACTAGGTTTCACAACCGTACAGTAGGATCGAACGTACGACTGCACTGTATACTCTACCCTTCAGCAGGGAGAGAGCGATATCGCGCAGGCAAACCAAAGGCTTTGGTTAAGTACCATAATCGCTCTCCTGTCTAGGCCTGGACAAGCTGACAGCATCATGCCCATGCAATACTGTGAATCATTCCCCAAACAATGAGCTACACAGCTCCGAATTCATCGAAGATATGACTGTTTTTCTCTCATCAGGGAGTCACGACTCGCCATAATGCGGTGGACAAAGATGAGAATGCAACGGGCACTTGGTAGAGTACTGCACATGGTAGCTGAAAGTCCGTGGTGATTTAGTAGTGGATATCCGCTTAATTCTTGGATGAAATCAAATGGAACATAGGAGGAGTGCCCAACAGTAGGGACTGTCAGTGACATCAGATGCCACGAATGCCTCGAAACTGCTCACAAATGTTAAGTGGTCTTTGAAAGATTAGAACAATGAAACCTGAACCGAGTTCCACCCTTGTAAGAGATGCATTGGTGACAGGTGTTCGAACAGCATCACCAACACTATTGGCTTATTGAACTGTTCTACGAGAATTGAACCTCGTTGAGGCGTTGCTTCGCTCACCCATCCGAGCAATTTGGTTGCAGATGTTACACGACTAATCGAGGTGGGATTTTGAGTGTGTAGTAACAGGTGGCTTTTTAGTAGTATCTGAGCTTCATGGGGATCCAGAGAATGATTTTACTTGCAGTTACTGCAAACAAGCTATTTGCTATTAAGCCCTGAGGATACCATCTCGACTGGTGATGAAACGCCTGTAACAAACTTGCTCAGCCCGAAGAGTAGAACAAAACATCAAATGCCATGTCGAGCTACGGACATTTCACGATACTGTAGATTTGAAACCCAATTATTTCAATCGGTGTTATTGCTTGCAGTGGCATCCATCGCTCAAGAATACAACACCCGAGAATCTGCTTCAGTTTCGAAGATTCTGTAGCCTGGGTCTACTGGCCAACCGATCACCTCAGAATGTCATCTAATGATAGTACGTCGCAGATTGAAACCGTGGAACCCATGTTGCGGTTCGCACCGCATCATGTTGGCTTGTTCAACAGCAACTGCATGGGAGAGTGTACAAGACCAAAGGAGAGCTACATCGTCCGCGTGCTCTGTATCATTGGATTATCAGGCGGACACTCGAATCCAGGAAGGATAGTCATTCACAACTTATCCGATCACAAGGTCAACCATAAAGCAACATACGCTCATCACATGTTGCGGAGAACAGAGTAGAGGGCTCCACGTTAATCGCCACAGTTCTGTAGAAAACGAATTTCTCAGTCACACTTTGAGGATGGGCGCAACAAAAATGCCCAGCAAGTTAATCAAAGTCCACATGATGAATCATGGCAGTGGATTTAAACTACCAATGGGTCGAAGAGAATGCGCATTATTAGTGCGCTTGTAAAAAGCATCCAGTTTTTCGTGGAATTAATCCCAGTCTGAACTTACTACAGTTAGTTTCAACAGGCGATCACAAACCACCAGATTAGAATTTTGTAACCTGAACTGATGAACCTACTTGGTTTTCAGTTACCCAAGCCAAACACCGGACATGAAAGACTCATTCGTTCCAACCCAACATCCCACTTCCGGTGTTCACACGCTGCGTGGCTGCTTGTGCAAGGTGGGCAGGCTGTGGTGCTGCGTGAACTGCGGTTGACGATGAAAAACACACCTAACGTAGTGCAAAAGTCTGGGTGGACGGTGCTTATTTGACGCAGATGGAAATAATCATACCGAGTAAAACGGGCGGGTCTGTCATAAATGAAAATGAAAGAAAGGCATCAGCAGTACGCCGGTACGCAGTACAGACGCCTCGCTGCCGTGCAACCACCACCAGTCGCGTTAAACAAGGGGACCAGCAACGCTACCACACGTGGTCTAAGGTGAAGAAATTTGTGACAAAAAGGAGAAAGGAAACAAGACAAAAACAACCCGATAATCTACCTGAAAATCCACACGCATTCTCGTTCGGGGTAGATTTCTAGCATGGTTGTAACTTGATGGACATGAGTCAGCAACATTTGCTTCATTTCACCACGTGGAAATGAAGTGTTTCGTAACAGCATTTCCAGCACGTCAGCCAGATAGCTCCACCCACTGGCATCAGAGGGATGGGACCGTAGCCAAGCTTCTACACGTTTGGCTTCCACGATGGCAGTCTGTAGATGAATAAGGGCACAACAAAGTTCAAAGAAACAGTAAATAGATGCACTGTACATACGGCGACACTCAGCGATACGTGACATGAATGGATGTGAAAAGAGAGAAAACCTGAGATAGACAGACGTTACCACAAAAGTATGTAGCACATGTGCATACAAGGCAGCGAGCAGATATAGATCCTATGTTTTTGGAGTTCGCTCCTTCACCACATCCATCCGTCCATTGTAAGCACTACGCCTACGAGTGCCTAACGTAACCGCATATATGTCATTCCTCCCAATTACTGTGGATTGGTTGGGGAAGTAAAATCCCTACTGATATTGGGAAAACTCATAGCAACTAGACTCGCATGAATATCCAGCATAGATCCCCAAAAAGCACTTCACATCTGTAGTTTCGCCGTTGTTAGTGTGCGTGCCTCTCTTTGAATCTTATGAGTATCGATCCCGTGACTGTTGAGTAGTACAAGGCGACCATGTGTGATAGCGGTGGACAATCATCATGAGCTATTGCTAGGCAGGATAATGTCTGGTTTATCCTCCGTTGCAATACACAACCTCTGAACGTTGATAAGGTGCAATGGTAGTAGTTACTTCGCATCGGTTACGTGGTCACGACGACTGTCGCCACCTCTCGTGGTTCAATAGTAGTCTTAATCCTCACCGCCTAAGGTGATAAGCGTGGATTCAAAGGAAATACGTATGGACGAAACAGTGGTCCAAATTTTCTTTCAATTATATAGTAACCCTCTGACTGAAGCTAGCTGAGATGAGAAGTCCTGAAAATTCAAAGCCTTCCATATGCCGATGTTTAGTGGTATGAAATTTAAACATCCTTGAGATGTGCGAGGATGTGAAGAGCAAAACTTAGCAATCCAGTTCAGTTGATAAACTATGATCCGAGCACCGAAGTGTGTGAATCTAGTTGCCACGACTCACATCGTAAAAATAACAACAAGTAACACTGGTAGGACGATGAGGCTGGGTGCAAATAGAATGTAGAGAAATGAAATCAAGAAAGAAATGCGTCAGACTAATCAGAACAGAACGAAAATTAACAACCAAATAAAAGAAGCCGATTGCAGGAACCCCACTGACTTCGTGACTGTGCCATGTCTGACACGGTTTCCAAGCATTGGTGTGGACTGTGCCGAAGTCACGATCCAGAAAGACCGCACCGACCAGCTTGACCAAGTCCCTCGGTCAATTTCTTGATGCCTCTATGTCGTTTCATGGACTGTCCACCTCGACGTTTCGCCTAATTTGGTGCAGCCACAGCGTATAATGCACACCGAGGAAGCCGATCGACGGGCATACGGGTGACATGGCCTAGGCAACGTAAGTGACTAAGATCTAGCAAACACTCGAGAGAGGCACCAAAAGGCGTCTTGCCGAAAACCAACTGACGAATCTCAGCATTGTTCACCCGGTGTTCTTACTAAACGTGAGAAATGCTCCACAAGCATTGGTGGTCAAACACGGCCAAACGTTTAATGTTTTCATTGCAAACTAGCCATGCTTCCTATTCATACAGTAACACTGGCCTTATCGCAGTGTTATACACCCTGCATTCCACTGACAAGCCGATATCACGCCGGCTCCACAGATGGTTGAGCCGCTGGGAAGCCACTGGGGCCGTGCTAATACGCGAAGTAACCACTAGAGACACAGCTACCAAGGTAAGTGAAGCGATCTACCAGTTCCAGTGACCGTTAGGAAGTAGCTAAAACCGGAGGTATGTCGGCCCAGTTTTGCAACAGCACCTTGCACTTTGAAGGTGCAAAGTACATGCCGAACCGTGCAGCGCTACGCACAAGTTTGTGCAGTAGTGTTTGCATAGCCAAAGCATCAGACCCAAGGAGAACTATGTCGTCCGCATATTCCAGGTTTGTCAGTCGGTCGCATGGCAGAACTTCCACTCCAGAATAGTCTGAAAGGACCCAGTTCTTCATAATCATTTCCATCACATAGTTGAAAAGGAGATATAGGACAACTCTGGTGAACCCAAGTTGTCGTGGGGAAATCAGAAATTTCCCGTAGACCCTTGGACGGCCTCGGGAATCACGGTATAGGTACTTCAGAATGGAAAGGAGCTTAGCTGGCATGCCTTTCATGGATAGGCAGCGCCAGAAACTGGCGGCTTACAAGTTAAGGAAAATCACCATAGTCAGTCGTCTGTATGTGTCTCTAAAACTTGGCGAAGAGGAAATATGTGGTCAATGCAACCACGACCAGGGCGGAAGCCAGCCTGGCTTCCAGTGATTCGGTTCTCACAAGGACCAATAAGTCGTCGAAGAATGATACCCGTGGGAAGCTTTGATACAACAGAAACAGGGCTAATGCCTCGATGATTTTTGTATAAAGTACGATGACCCCACTTGAAGCTGGGCACGACAGTTGAGTCACTTCTTCCAGTGTCCCAAATCGTGTTAAAAAGAGAGGCGAGTCCAGGCAAAAAAGAGTCACCACTATCTTGCAATAAAGATAGGGATGGTCGTCAGGTACTGGAGTCTCGTTTTGTTTTAACACAGCGTGCACATGTCGAATCTCTTCAAAGCTAGAACGTGTAACATTTACTTCCCAGGTCAGCTCAGGTGATGCAGCATGTAGCAGTGTCATAGCAGGCCTGCTGAACTGCTTCTAAAAATAGTCCGCCCAACGGGCTAGTCGACGACGCTAAGAATGCAGTAACTGTCCATCTTTCTCAGCTATTGTCTCGCTAACGGATGGCTTTCTCGGACCCGTGTTTCGGATGAGCTGGAACAGCAGTCGGTCGTTCCCAATGGCGCTGGCTTTCTCCATCGCACGGGCCTTTGTAACCCACCAAGGTTCCCGGTCAACTCGAAGATTACTTGTCAGACATTGTTTCAGGGAGTTAGGTATACGCTGAAATTCAGTGCCCATCGGAACCTGTTAATGTGCTTCGGTCAAACTGATTGATACCTCAAAGATCCGTTCACAGTTACGACGTCTCAAGCGGGGTGCACAGCAAGCGTCAAAGGGATTCTTAGTGGCACGCTTAATACGATCCCAGTCGGCGTTCCGCTCACCAACCTCATTCATCACTGACGATTGGTTGGCCAGTTCGTTATGATACTGTTGAACTGCAGACTGCGAGTTCGTTACAAGTAAGGTTAGAAGACAGGCGCTTCTAGCAAAACTTAGCATATATTGGTGGACAGACAAAGCTGATTTCCTGATGTTTTCAGTGTGCGATAATAGCAGTGCCCCATTTTCGTGCAGCCTTCCCGAGACCACTAAGCATATATGTCACTGTTATGAAAAACCACACAAGTTCACCGGTCAGTGAAGCATCTTAGCTAATGATGTGACCGCGTGCGGTAACACAGTGGTATGAGTAGCATTTCGCTGCTTTTTCAGAATAGGCGCATTGTCGACTCAGTCGTGCAAGGGTATATATTTGCAAAAGTCTACGAATAGACATAATGCCATCAGAAACCATGGGATTCAAACGAAGGTACAGAAATAGTAAAATAAAACACAACACAACAATGTCCATGGTTTCCTCAGAGGGCGAGATACTACCCGGTTGCCCAAGCCGAAGTAGGGTGTTGACTTAGGGGACACCACCCTGAGCCTTTGGCTGAATAGCCTGCCCGCAAGGCAGCGGAGCGAATTCAGGGAATCGCGCCCATTGGGAGCCGGTGACTGATTGCTCAGTTCATACGCCTTTCGTTTGTTCCTTTGTCAAACAGGGGCCCAATGCTCCCCAGAAGTACAGCATGACGTTGCTGGAATACAATGCTTCGCCAGGATGAAGCAAGGGGCAGTGACTTTATTTAGTGGCGAGTCACGTCCGCCACGTCACAGTGTTGTTAAACGGACATGTGCAAGGGTGCGTGACGTTTTAAAGGCGTGAAGTGCAAAATGAAACGTCGGTAACGGCTTTCCAGTTTAATCAGTAGCGCTTGTCGAGTAGCTCCGCCGGTAGCCGTGATTTGGGCGTCCGGCTGGTAATCTAAAGTTTTTCGGTTCGTTCTTGTGTATGTTTCTGGGAACTCGCAGCATCCCAGAGCGCATGTGACTGCTGTCGCTCGATTGGCAGCGAAGCACCAGTACGACGTACCAGCGTACTGCCGTTGCCTTCAGATTCTCTCAGTCACAACCGAAGATGGCCACGCAGTCTGCATGTTTCAGGCGTTTACACAGCAGAGTGTGGCAAGTAAAGCAGCATATGATAATTCCAACAATGAGATTGAAGAGGAACAGAGATGCAGGACCGTTGTAACAAACTTTACTTGTTGTGCTGTATACAGGCAGTGCCACGTACAATCGAGAACAGTCGAGTTGAAAGAGATCATAAGAGGGGACAATGAACGACGGCAATGAGAGAACCTGTATCAGTAAGGCTTTCATCAGCATTGTGCATATTCTTGGCTCAATAACGATGTAAACAATCAATAGCGAGGAAAGTGAACTGATTGATGGGTCTGAATAGCAACCGATTCCAGGAGCAAACATTACGCAAAGATAAATGGAAAATGGAGCATGCAATTTTTCACCTCCTCGTAATTCACCACCTTGCAGAAGTGATACTCAACGTAAGACATCAAAGGTAGCTTGGATGGAGTAGTGTATGAAGGGTAAACTTGTTTAAGTAGAAGTCGTTACCGCTGGAACCAAGTGCATAACCCCAACGTTCGAGAAAACGGATTCAGGAGAAAATTGTCAACTGGAGCAGCGATCACCAAACTTATCTACGCATCGAGCCGAATAAATGACGTGAATGACACAGGAAGCATAATCGTTCTGCACAATACTAGCAAGTCTGAATGTAAACAGATGGAAAAATAAAGAAAACGCGATCCTCGATGTTCACTTTTCTCAGTAATCATGATAACTGGGGGAAAACCGAGGCTGAACAATGAAACTATATTGATTTACGAACATAGTCAAATACTTAAGCATCAGGAAAACAAAGGACTATATAAATAAATAAATTTGTATATTTACCGACAGACGGTACACGGACCCATAAGTGGGAGCGATCATTTGTAGTGAATAGGTTCCAAAGTTTATGTGGCGTAAATCATAATAGTAAAGAAAAGTTTAGTAACAGAATTTCAAATCATGTTTTCCTCGGGTTCTAGACCTGTGCACCTAATATGTAAAATTTACGGATGTTTGTATCATCATTTTCTAGTTTGTGGGGCTCAGGAGTAGATAATAAAAGGGAGGGGATACTAGGCTGCACAGACACAGGATTTGGTATTGTAGGTAATGACATGTAGTGGGTAAGCTAGTTGTAAGCGAATATCTGCTCATATGTTTCTCATACCAGCTTCTGTCAATGTTTCTAGAATTTGCTGTGAGTCAAATAGCTTCAACACATTTGATATAGTGAGGAACGTCTGAAGAGTTTCGAAATTTGACAGCTTGTACTCATGCGTATCTGTAGGGGTAGTTTGTTCCACAGATCAGTGTATCACACTGAGAAAAATTTCGATCGAGTTTTATGACTTGAACGGTTTGTGCGTGTCAAGTAGCCGCAATTATGTGTGGGGTAGACTGCAGTCTTCCGTAGTTTAAGTGTGGTGCTGTCTCGGTAAATCTGTTGGTTTATAATGTTATAGAAAAGAAGGAGGTTGTTCTTTAAGTGTCTCAGTTAAAGAGGATCCAGTTGGCTTATACAGACACCTCATCCATCGCCCATCCACCAAACCAGCTGTCAAAGAGACGCGTGGCGAATCGCAACCGGGCACCTACAAAGCAACACCATCTTATGAGCTAAAAACAAACAGTAGCGCGTTCACATGAACCGAATTTTAGGAGGATAACTGGCATCATAATTAGCATCGCATGCAATGAACTTACCTGAAGTCCCACAGTGGAGCGTAGCAAAAACCGCCGATAATCCCACACACCGTACTGCATCCGATACAAATCCGCCAGCTGGTCGCATAGCTCAAATTCCGTGTCCAGCAAAGAGCCAATTTCCGGATAGAAATTCCGAACAATCCACTGTCTTCACAATGAACACAGACGAAGAGGAATAGTCCACTTACCTATGGAACAAGGTTTCATTCGACCGCGGATGAGTACGCAAGATAAGGCGAGTGAGCCACAACTCACGATCCGCCGTGATACGATTGGACAAAACAGCGCGGCGGCGATAGTTCCAAAATGTGGTGGTGTTCGGGCTGATTAGCAGTAAAAACAGTAGGGCAACTAGGAAGATAGGGAACAGTAAGGGGGCGTTCATTAAGAGAGTATAATGAAACGAAGGGTATAAGGTGTAAATCATAAGTCATGAAAAGCGTCGAAAATTCGAACAGCAGTGAGCAAAAGAGTTATTATGGTTGGCGATTCATACCTAATGAGATTTGAACACACCATATCATTATCAATACAAGCCAGCGGAGGATGAGAAAAAAACTTCAGTTACTATGTCGAAATACAAAATGTTGACACCAAACATTACATGATACAAGAAGTAACAAAAATTAGTAACATAATGCTAAGTATCATATTACGTGTCGTGTGTGAGATGATGATTGGAGAAAGAAGCGCAACGGGAGAGGCAAAGGCAAGGAAAGTCACATCAAAAAAACCATGGAGGAGGGTTCTCCGCCAAGTCAACAAGTGTAGCCAAGCAAACTTGTTCAGCATCTTTGGGACTCCGGCCTTGTAGTCGAGAGGCACAGACCGGTGTCAACTTGGAACTGAGAGTAATGATTTCTTTTGACCAAGTCATCGCTTGGCCTCCCGGCCACCCACACCCCGGCGCGCAAACAACTCATTTCGCAGAAGTCGGTGTGCTGCCATGCGCCATGGTGCTGAGCGGTTCACTCGTACTTCCTACAAAATTACACAGCAGTGAAAACGCTCACTCCTCACGCGGTGCTCCCACCAGACATGAGCCAAACTGCGAAGACATCCATGGTGTGCCTATTTGATAGGCTAAGTTTTGCAACCGTACAGAAGGGTTGAAGAGACGGCTGCATTATAAACCCTGCACTTCAGGGCGAGAGTGATGTCGCGCCGACGCCACAGGTGGAGGACACTGGCAAAATCACCTCAGGTTTTGCTGTGCGGTTTGCGATCTCATCTTCTATTCCACCGGCGCCAATATAGCTGCCAAGGTACTCATCACCAAGGACCAGCGAGGGCTGGGTCACTGCGCCTTTTGGAGAAAGATTTTGCATTTCGATAGTGCAAAGCACAGACCAAAACAATTGACAACCAGTGCTAATCTATCCAGTGCAGTTTGAAACATAAGGGAGATAGTACTGATTACAGCAATGTAGTCGGCGTACTATAAGTCGAAAAGTCACTCACCTGGAAGGAGCTCCACATATTCTAATTCGTATTCAGTGGATGCCGTTTCCGTGGCTTCGTCAATGGCGAAGTTAAAGAGGAAATACGAAGGCGGGCAACCTTGTCTCGCACCGCTGGTGATATTAAAGGGCGATGACCATTTGCTATAAGCCCTCACTCTACCCGACCAATGCATGTACGGTACGCTGAGAATGTTTGCAAGTCTATCGGGCACACATTTCTTGTGAATACAGTCGCAGAAAGCACATCAAACAAAGCACATCGAGAAACGACTATAGTGGGCCGCCAGTAAATTTGGCGGCGTTTCAACAAATGACGAAAGAGGAAGATGTGGTCAACACAAACTCGATTTCGACAAAACCCAGCTTGCGCCTCGCGAATCTGACGTCCACGGACGCCAGTCAGTCTATGGAAAACGACAGAGGGGAGCAACTTAGGGGCAACTGGGATAAGACTGATCCCTTTGTGATTGCCGCATTCCGAAAGTGAGATTCCCTAGAAAACTGGGACTAGGTAGGAGTACGTTCAGTCTGCTACACTAAACGTTTTACTAGTAGGTTGCGTAAATCATACGCGAGATTACCCGAATTTGAAGAGGATGGAAAAACTCTATCTGTTCCTACGGCTTTAATGAATTTTAATGGTTTGATCTCACACTCGATTCATGAGCATGAGGGTGGGCCAAAGAGGATAGCCAGGGAATAGGACGGTCAGTGGCCGTTGAAGATACTAACTATGATTCTAAAAGCGTTCGGCCCAATGATACAAGCGTGTTGATGAGTCATGTATTGACCGTCCACTCTAGTCAGATATAAAGTCTCACTAAACCAAGTCTCCTGCTGCCCGCGTCCCGTATCAGACCGAATATTTTACGATGGTTACTAAGAACAGTGGCCGTTTCCAAGTCCAACGAACGATGATATCATCAGGTGTCGCAGACTCTCTTCAGGCTAGCACGTGGTTTGGATTTGAGAACTTCGCGAATCTCATTGTGTTCATTTCCAACCGGAACACGCCGGCGAGCATTCAAAAGTTTCCATAGAGGGTGTAAAATCCCAATGTCCAGGTTGGCAGTTTGTTTTATCCCATGAAGATATGCTCGCTGGCAATAACATTTGAGGGTAAGTGACCAGTGATTCTTAATTGTGTTTAGTGAGTGCTTACTCAAACCGCATCAGAGCATCCTTTGATACGCGTCCATAACAACTAGTTTCGCCGGTTTACAAGTACCTATGCGTATACAGCGGCGTTGAGGAAGTCCACTGAAACGGACACGAATGTCGGCACACGTACAAGTGCGTTGTGGGAGTCCACGCTCGCGCTCCACATTGAGCGACAGGTCTGGACACAACCTCTCCAGCGGTAAATGATCACGATGTGGTCGGTCTGCGTCTATAGCTGATCCGAGGCGGGTGGGCACCACGTCACTCTTCTGCGGGTGTTATGTCGAAATGTACCGCTCGTGAGAAATAGACGAGCATCTTAACAAGGATGCAGCAGCCGCTCATGGTCAGCATTACGGGAGCCTACATCAGGTGGGCCGTCCAGAAGAAGATTATCAGTCGACAGTTTGCTAATTGGCGTTCAGATCGCCAGTAAGCACCACAGTATTTTTAATTTTGCTGCAACGAATGGCCTCGCTCAGTTGGTGATAGAAGTCATCTTTTACCAAATCAGCGCTAATGTCTGCGGGGCGTATGCAGCAGTGACAAACAAACAACCTATGTCCTCACACGACGTCAAATCATGGAACGAGCCAACCAATCTGACGGCGCACATCCGATTGCTGACTGAGATCCAATAGAGCAGAGCAACTTCAGTCTGGGGGCTCAAAACAACGCCCACACCGGCAAGACCGGCATTTGAAGTTGCGTCATGTTCGGATAAGCTCAATGAGAGATTGCACCAGTGTCGCATAGAGGGGGATCGCAGCATAAGCACGAGTTTTGAATGCGGGTTTCCGAGAAACAGTAAATGCCGACCGATGGGGTCTCCAGTGTTCGGACAAGTGCTGCATGCTGGAAAATCTGCAAAAGGTGCGCACATTGAGGCACACAGGATTGAGGGCTCGAAAGCATGACAGATTAACTGACGTCCGATAGAAATGTCGACTGGACCAGAGTGAGGTCATGTGATTGTGTGTGAGTGGAAACTAGAAGACAAGTGACCATTGAAGCAAGATGAGGGAGGGTCGACAATTGCAGGGTTGAAAGCAAGGGGATAAAAGTGAAGTTGGAAAAGAACGATAAGTATGAAAAGATGCAAGACGGGAATAAGAAGACGTGAACGCTTGAGCAGCAGCATCCATACTCTTATCCACAATGCTTGATGCAGCAGACAGAGCGTCGTTGATTGTCCCCTGCGACGCCCAGAGCATCAGAAAATGGTTAGAAGAAAAATTCAAGTAATTCAGTTGGCAAGATACTGTCAGATTGTCCAGGCCGAGACAGGAGATGATCAAGGTTTTCAACCATACTCCTGATTCAAGAACCTGACAGAATGGCAACAGCGTTTGGGCAATGAGCCACAGGGAGTCCGTTTTGAGGTGTCAAGAGCCACCCTCAATGTAATCACCAATATGGAGGATCAGGAGACTGTTCGTTTGGCCTGTAACCACTGACCAACCAGATGTGCGCTCTGAAGTTGCAAAAAGCATCAACAAGCATAGCTTAATGCACCAATGACGCACGTAAACCATTGCACGACGTTAATGTAGGTCACAGGAGTAAGAGAGCTGATAAAATGAAGACCGGGAAATCAGGCGCCGCAAGTGGCTGAGATATTTGTAGTGAATTAGCAAATAAACATTTCCCCCTAGTAGCAAGCGAGGTCAATGCGAACTGCAACCGTGATCTCTGTATCAAAATATACTAAAAAAGACGGAGAACCTTGGTGATTGGCAAAGCTCGTGACACGATGAGAGCCAATGTTATTGGAAACAGCCGACTGTTGTTTCAGCTCAAGTAGAATACGGGTCCGAGAAAGCTATCAGTTAGCGGGACAATAGGTGAGAGAGATGGACCGTTGATCTATTCTCAGCATCGTCAACTAGCCCGTTGGGAAGAATAATTTAGAGCAGTTCAGCAGGCGTGGTGCAACATTGCCGCCTACTGAATCAACTGACCCAAGGTGGGAAGTTGATGTCACATCCCCACTTTGGAAAAGATTCGACATGAGTTTTCAGTGTTGAAACGAAACAAGGCTCCAGGACCCGACAACTTTCCTCCATCTTTCAGCAAAGATGGTGGTGACTCTGTTGACTGGACTCCCTACCCTGTGTAAGAAGATTTGGAACATTGAAGAAGCGCCTTCAAACTGGGGACTATCAACTATCATGTCCTGCTTCAAGAAGGGGCAATGCGCTTTATGCGAAAATCATCGAAGCATCAGCCTTATTTCCATCATCTCTAAACTTCGCACGGATATCCTGCTTCGACAAATTACTGATCCTCGTGAGAACTGAATCAATGAAACACAGGCTGACTTCCGCCTGTGGTTGCTTCGACGACTTATTTACTCTTCGCCAAGTTTTAAAGCAGACATACAGAGGACCGACTACGATGGTTTCCCTTGATTCGAAAGCCATCTTCGACTCTGTTGATCGCGCCAGATAATGGTGCGCCCAATTCATGAAGGATGTATTAGCTAAACCCTTTTCCATTCTGAATTCTCTCGCTTGTGACTCTAGAGGACATGTAAGGGTCTAGAGGAAACTGCTTCCTGTGTTCCCACGACAAATGGGGTTCGTTAGGATTGTTCTTTAGCTCCATTTCCTCCACAACTTTGTAATGTAAATGATCATGAATGAGTCGGTTCTTTCATACTCCACCGAAGTGGGAGTTCTGCCGGGTGACGGGCTGAAAAACCTGGAGTATGCAGGCGACATAGTT